ATTTATTATTTTCTTATTTAAATCTTTGGTTATTATTTTAGTTGGACAATTGGAGCGAAAAAAGTCTATTATGTTAAACTCATCTTTTGTCTTTAATATTTTGTTAGTTTCATTTCATGATTTATGTTAGCTTGATGACTCGATTAGTTAATGTTTAAATGATATTTTTCTGTGTGCGAGTTGTTATATAATATTTTGTTGCTTACGCAATCTATTATTTCATATAAACACAATTTGTCACTTTTTATTATGCTAGGATTTTAATGTTTTTATTTAATATATCTGTAATTTATGACGCTAGCTGGGTCCCAAGCATCAGATGTAAAAAATGGAGGGTAGCGTTAGGTAGTCGACAACCAACATAAAATTTATCAAAAAATTATGACAAGAATTCTTTTAATCATTGTGTAAATGCTATGGTGTCCTTTGGAAGGGACACGCTATATGATTTGAATATAGTGAAAAGTGTGCAACAACCGCTACACCGATGCCCGAGTGTAGTGTTAAATAAGCAAATAGTTCTCACATTGTGGACGAATATTGGTAAATAAGTTAGTCCATGAAGCCAATATTAAGATAAAATCTTGAAATATAAGTACTTTTACATGTAAATTAATGAAATTAGTTGATATCATGATTTATATAAAGATAAATATCTTAAATACTCAAGAAACTAAATGAGTTGGAGAAAATGCTAAGGAGATTGATAACTTAGGTTTTAAACTTTGGTATTCAGGTAAGAGTCCCACTAAAAATGGTATAGGTGTAATTATAGATAAGAGTTTGAAAGATAAAGCTGTAAAAATTAATAGAATCGGAGATAAAAGTATAGCTCCTAAGATTGTTGTTGATACTAAGATTTTAATATTATAAGTGCTTATGCTTCTCAAGTAGGTTTAGATATAGGTTCTAAAGAAAAATTTTGGAATGACATAGAAGAATTGATACAAATGACACTACTTGAAGAAATAATTTTTATCGGAGAAGATTTAAATAGACATGTAGGTAGTGTGGTAGAACATTTTAGAAATATTCATTGTGGCTACAGGTTTAGAGTGATTAATAAAGAATGTAGAGTCATATTAGATTTTATTTTTGCTTATGATTTTGTTGTTGCTAATATTTTATTTAAGAAAAAAGATGAACATATTATTACTTATAAGAATGGATCTAATAAAACATAAATTGATTATTTTTTTATGAGAAGAAGAGATCGTTGAGAATGTAAAAATTGTAATGTCATTCCAAATGAGAATTTAAGTACTCAATATTAATTATTAGTTTTGGATTTCAAGATGAAGAGTTGTAAAATAAAGAATGCTCAGAATCATTCTCATAGAATTAGATGTGGGCACCTAAAAGTTAATTCAAAATTTTCTTATGAGTACACTTCAAGATTTCAAGATTTTGGATGTTCATGAAGAAGCAAATTCTATATGGGATAAAGTAGCAAATACTATTAAACAAGTGGTAAAAGATGTCCTTGGAGAATAAAAAAGGAAAAGTTTTTATAAATAAAAGTAATTTGTGGTGAATTAATAATGTGCAAGAAAAGATCAAATATAAGAAGTTATGTATTAAAAATTGGTTTAAATGTAAAAACTTTGAGAACTGAGAAAAATATAAAATGATCTCTAAGGAGTTTAAGAGAACAATCGGTGACGCTAAAAATTCTGTTTTTAGCAATCTTTATAATAGATTAAATCTTAAAGAGGGTGAAAAATATATGTATAAACTTGCCAAGTGAAGAGAAAAGAAAGGTAAAGATTTAACTCAAGTAAAGTGTATTAAAGAGGAAAATCAAAAAATGCTTTTCTCAGAATAAAATTATTCAGCATAGGCGGGTGAGTTATTTCGATAAACTTTAATATTTAGAAGATATGGGAGTTTCTTGGTTTACTAAACTCTTTAATATTATTTTAAAATTTTAAAAAATGCCTGAGGAGTAGAGGGAGAGTATTTTGGTTCCCATTTGTAAGAATAAAGGAGATGCAGATGAGTGTACAAATTATAGAAGAATTGAGCTGATGTCATACTTTAAATTTATGAGAGAGGGTAATAGAACATAGGTTAAGACATGCTATAAAGATATCTCATAATCAGTTTGGTTTTATGTCAGGCAGTTCTACTATGGAAGTTATACATTTATTGAGGTTTAATGGAGAAGTACAGAGAGAATAAGGAGGATTTACATGTGATTTTTAATAATTTGGAAAAAGCTTATGATAAGATTTCAAGAAATATTCTTTGGAGAGTTCTAGAGAAGAAGTTGTTGATATAACTTATATTCAAGTCATTAAAGATATGTATACTAGAGCTGTTACTTGTGTTCAAAGAGGAGGATTGACAAAACATTTTCCTATTTCAGTTGGATTGCATTAGGGATCGACTTTAAACCTATATCTTTTTGCTTTAGTTATGGATGCTCTTATTGGACATTTACATGAGGATGTACCTTGGTGTATGCTTTTCGCTGATGATGTTCTTCTTATGGATAAGACTAGAGAAATAGCTCAGGAAAAACTTGAATTATGGAGGTCTACTTGACTCTAAGTGCCTTCGTTTGAGTAGAACTAAAACTGAATACAGGGAATATAATTATAGTAGCAATAGCTCTAGTAACAAAGTTGTAACTATGGGTGATCAAATTATTATATGGTGTGACCGCTTTATATATCTCAGGTCAATTGTTCAAAATGATAATGATATTGATGGGGATGTTATTAGTAGAATTCAAGTTGGTTGGTTGAATTGGAGGAATGTTTCAGGCCTATTGTGTGATAGAAAAGTATCGCTTAGACTGAAAGAAAAATTTTATAAGATGGTGGTGATACCTGCAATGCTTTACGACACAGAATATTGCCCTTTAATACAAAAGCATAAAACTAAGTTAAGTGTTGCCGAGATGAGAATGCTTAGGTGGATGAGTGACTTTACACTGAGAGAGAAAATGCGAAATGAATATATTCGTGATAGGGTTGGTGTAACTCCATTGGCGGACAAGATTAGAGAGTCATCTTAGATGGTTTGATCACATTAAACTTCGCTATAAACGTCGACCATTAACGTCGACCATTTGATGATTCGATTAGGAGAGTTGATGTTTTAGATTCGACTTATGTTAAGAAAGGCACATATAGGCCTAGAAAGACTTAGGCATGTTATATAAAAATGATCTTCATTTATTTAATTTAAATAAAAATATGACACTCAATATGACCCAATGGAGCAAAAGGATTCATGTAGCCGATCCCACTTAGTGGGATAAAGGCTTGTTGTTGTAACATATAATTTTTTATCCCTTTATTTTGACTTGCGCAATTTCAAATTTTGAGGCTTATGCCTCAAACTGCCTCGAGGCTTATGCCTCGCTTCAAGAACGAAAATGCCTCAATATTCAATCACATAGTTTTAACATTGGATATGATTATGTGATTGACTATCAAGAAATTTCGCCCATGTAGTTAAAATAACTATTTTATAAATAATTATCTGTGGGACAGCTTCACAAGGATAGTCACTTTAGAAAATGGATGTTAAAACCTTCCTTTCTTCATGTTGATGACAATGAAGCGATTTACATTTTTCTTTTGCCTAGCATTTTCATATCTTCACTTTCGAATGTATGCAAAATGAGTTCTTTGTATATAGTTTGAACTAGGCATTTAGTGCATTTTCGATTAATTTCGATCAACCCTACTTTGATTCTCCTTTTCGCAAAACCAATGTGATTTGTCATCATTTCTTTGCATGAGGCTTTAGTGTTAGTGCATTTAGGTTTTTTGAAGATAGAACATAAAGAATAAACAATTTTTTTGCTATTTATTCATGATATTTTGATTTTTTGGTTTAATTGAATTTTTGTAGAACAATCATATGACTGAAATCCAAATAACTCTTACCCTAAGACAAAACTTCATACTATTGTTTAATAAATAGAAACAGCCAATCACTTTTACTTGATTCAATTTGCTTTTTTCGATTTAGACCAACTAATGCAAACAACTTTTCATGGATCACGCAGTGTTGGTTATTCCTTTTATGAATGTATTTACCTTAGTTCTTTCAGGCTATTAATTATTAGCCATAGTCGAGATGTTTCACTTTAATGTCCTCCTTTTTCAAAGCCTTGCTATTTTTAGTTTTCCAAAATTACTTGAAGCAGGTGTATTATTTTTAGAATTTGGTGTTCTTTTGAATTACATTTTCCTGTTTCTGAAAGTATTGTTTGCCATGGAAAATTGATATTTCCAACAGGAAGTTACCTGAAAGTTCTTAAACTTATTCTTAAAATATTTAAAAATTTTGGGAGGTCGCTTATCACTAGCCTCCATGAAGATTGAGATGGTGTATTTAAGGCATGAGGCTCTTGACAATGCCTGATTTAGAAGAAGACGATGTACACAATCTTATACAGAATCCTATCCTTGCTTCAAATAGTTATTTTTATGGTTTGAACCAATGACCTCTAGGCCGCTATTGATCATAATGATAATGATCATCATTTTTAGCCTTAACCCAACTTTTTGGGACTCCCTTTTTGGGGCATTTACATAGCTCACAATTCTCATATATTTACATGTCTCACACCTAAGCTTTCATATTTATGCACATAGCATTCAAATCTTTAATATCACATAAAAAAATATTATTATTATAACTTTTAAAAAGTGTAATACACTTTTTCATGCATATGTATATAGCACCGATGTGCTATATATGTAAATATGAAATTTTAGGTGTGAGATATATAAATACATAAGAATTGTGTGCTAGGTATGTAAAGTTCCTTAATATAAAAAAGGCTTTTTAGCTCGGCTTTAGTGCTTGAGGTGATTAGAAAAAGATAAGGCGGGTATAAAAGAGATTGTCTAGGATCATGAAGAGAAACTTGGTATTTTCATGAACTTTTATGCAATTCTGTAATATTTTATTTTCTCTTAATGCACTCATATAGTTTATTTGTATCTCCCCATCATACCTTCAATTTCTCATGGCAGGAAGGAGTGCCACTGTATGCTCTTTCTTACACCTGATAATGATTTTGCTGGGAGGGAACAGGCATGTTCTACATTACTTTTTAAATATATATCTTTTTTCTCAGTTCCATTGCTAAATTAATTAAATGGCCATTTTGGCTTATGTATTATGAGATGCCATCTTATAGCATAATAGTCCATTTTTTAATGAAAGTAGCTCTTTTACGTCAGTTTATCATATAATTGCATTATTTGCAAGCTTTATGCATTTTTTACAATAACTTTTTCTTATATCATTGCATTGTATCTTATAATATAGTTAATGTGGTATTTTCTTATGCGATAGCTTTTATTTGTCCTCTTATTGCTGTGGTTGATCTAATAATGGTTGATTGTGAAGTGAATCTTAAATTTTTAATAATAATGAGAGCTGCCCTATTGATCCACTCTTGCTCCAAATTCTGACCTGCAACCCAACTCTCTCCTGGAGATCTAATTATTGATTTTTATCTGTAATAAAAGTAAAGTTTAGATTTAAACATTTGTGATTACAATATGCTGGTTCTGAAGGAGCGGCATGATAGCGGAGTTAACCCAAACCATATTAGAAAAAAAAAAACATGATTACTTCAAGCAAATATACAGTTACAAGTTCACAATGAAAAGGAAATACAACAACAAACACACAACACTAACAAACTCAATTAAAGCTGATCCCAAAACTAGTGACCAGTGAAAGAGGTTGTGAGTTGGCCGTGGGTGCGGACGGGAAGGGAAGTGGAGTATTGGCCGGTTGCAGGGAGAAGGTTGGGGGTTGAGAACTGCTGTGTGGGGGTTGTGTGGGATGAACCAGTGATTAGATAGTAGGGAGCTGATCGGTAAGGTTGGAACAACATCTAGGATGCGGGGGAAGGGAGAGGTGGCAGGAAAGGGGTTGGTTTGGTGTTGGAAGGCGACAGAGAGGGATGACAACAAGGTGGGAGGGAGTGAGGGTTGGTTTGGTGTTTGCAGGAAAACAGTGAGGAGGGTGTTTGTCGGGTGGCTGCAGAGAATATGGCGGGTTGTCCAGGGGTTGCGACAGCGAGGGGAATGGCTGGAAAGGGGCTTTGGAGGAGTTTTATGGGATAAATAACCCCACGGGATCGAGCTACAATCGAAACACCACCCGAATCTTTAGAGAAAGTCACCACCTCGGACGAGACACAGCTAGAGCGTCACTCGTCATCAGATATAGCCCTAGAAGAGAAAACAACTCTCGACGGCTGACTTGGATAGAAGTCTAAAATTTTGAATTAATCAAAAGTTGAACCCTAAGACAACAAACAACATATTTATAATAAGTACTAGTAGTTAAAATATGAATGAATTAGAATATGAAGGAAATATGATTAGGAAGGGAATAGAAAAAAGCAAGGGATTAAAATAGGAAAAGGGGTTGGGGAGCTTCGACTTCTTTAGTCGAAACTTTTGGTTCCGTGTAGCATAGAGTCAAGCCTGTCACTTTGATGATACGAGAGAGATTGCAATCTCCTGAGAGGTCGATTATGTAGTGTTGTCATTCCAATCACGTCTTAATAAAATAAATATGCATCTTTTTTCAACACATTATAAGTTGGAGCTGCATATATATGTATGTTCCCGTAATGTTACTCTTTAGCCCTTAAGTCTGAAACCTTCTTGTTCCACTTCTCGTACTCGGCAGAATATAGCTGATAAACAATTATGTGAGGAGAAGTCAACTTTGGGGTAATATTTGTGGCAGGCTGCACCACACTCACTAGCAACCACGCAGGAGAGACATTTTCTTCACTGATAGGATCTGGATCCCATTGAAAAATTTACTTCCCCATCAAGCTCCTAAGACAAATTTTTAGGATGAGATTCATTCCTCCTGTCTGGACATTTGATGATGGGTATCATGCTGAGCTGAATCCAACATTTAAATAACTCCTATGTAATCTTCCCGACATGGCACAAAAGGGTCTCATCTCTAACATGCGGGACCTCCCTCAGTAGGGGCAACTCATGGATGAGTCTATGGAACTGAAAGGTCTGAATTTCATTTATCCGGGGTTGTCCTGTGTATGATATCGGCTCCTCAAATTCATAGATCCTTTGGACATCCAAGATCAGTTCTATTGATGCTATTCTCAATGCCTGCAAAATGCTAGCTCGAGGCAACATAATCTTTTTCTCTGTTGGAATACCTATTATATCAGAGTCACTACTTTCTATAACAACTATTATTATCTCAGCCGAAATCTCTTTCTTGTGCTCAATTGGAATCGATGATATCTCTTTCTCGTTGGTTTAAAATTAAGAATCATCGCTGACGTCTGCATCTTTTTCCAATTCACCGTTTATCTGTTCAACTGGAAGCTGGTCCTCTTGCTTTGTTTTCTCACCATCTTCAGCGTCTATTGTGTTATACCTAATTTTTCAAGAACGCTCTGTTCTATGAAATAGATCACTCCCCTGGTTGTGCAGTATGATTTAATATGCCAAAATCCATGACACATGCAACACTTTCAGACTGGGACAAATTTAGTAATGTGGATTGATTCCACTTGTTCTCCACTTTGACTCGGCTTTTCATTGATAGGGTTAGCTTGTATATTTTCCTGGGTATAATCTGCTGTAAGATTCTGAGGTTGAGCGGTGTCTATAAGACTTGGTGGTCTACCGATTATGTGGTCTCTCCACTTCCAAAGCTAGAGTCTGAATCTTCTGTCTATAGGAAGCTAGTAGGAACTAGCGTTGGATCTCCCGCTTAATATTCAAATTCTCTTCTCCATATGTTGGCTCTTCTCTCAGCCTCCTATGACACTGGATTCCAAAGCGTCGTGGATGATTTTTTTCATCACAGAAGTCCTCCATAGAAGGGATTTATATACTCGTCTCGTGCTCCCCTTCTATTCTCTAGATTCCGTTCGAGGGTATTCTCTCCCTAGGGTTCATCCTTAATATCCACAAGCCTCTACTGAAGTTGACAGTTCTCTCGCTATATCTCTTTCTGGGTAGGTTCGGGCATTTATCTCCTTGGTAGCAATGCTAGAGTTTAGGGTTGGGAGTTGAAAAAAATTGTAGGGAGAACTAATTTGGGGTTGATGATTTTGAAAATGAGCAAGGGGAGATTAAGGTTAGTCAAAATTTGGCTAGGGTTTCGGAATGGGACAAAAAGATTTTGATAGAGATGACTTTGGGTAAGGGTGGATGCTAGGAAACTCTAAGGTTATGCTAGCTTTGATACCAAATGATACTAGAGTTAACTCAAACCATAACGAAAAAAGAAATTATCATTCGAAGCAAATAAACAGTTACAAGTTCACAATGAAAAGGAAATAAAATAACAGACACACAACACTAACAAACTCAATTAAAGCGGATCCCAAGATTGGATGAAAGAGGTTGTGAGTGGATGCTAGGAAACTCTAGGGTTAGGTGTAGCTCTGATACCAAATGATACTAGAGTTAACTCAAATCACAACGAAAAAAAAATTATTATTTGAAGCAAATAAACAGTTACAAGTTCACTATGAAAAGAAAATAAAATAACTGACACACAACACTAACAAACCCAATTAAAGCGGGTCCCAAGATTGGTGACCGATGAAAAAGGTTGTGAGTTGGTCGTGGGTGCAACCGGGAAGGGGAGTGTTGGTCGGCTGCAGAGAGAAGGTTGGGCGTTGGGAACTGCAGTGTGGGGGTTGTGTGGGCTGGGACTACCATTAGGTGGCAGGGAGCTGATTCGGTAAGGTTAAAACAACATCTAGGATGTGAGGGAAGGGATTTTGTGAGGCTGGGACAATATAGAGGCGGTAGGAAAGGGATTGGTTGGGTGCTGGAAGGAGACGACAAGGGATGCAGAAGATGTGAGGGAGCTAGGTGGTGGGCGGTTGCAAAAAAAGAGGAAGTTGTTTGTTTGGTGGTTGCTGCGAAGATGGTACTTACGGCGGCAAAGGGAAAGGTGGCGAGCTGCGGGATACGTAAGGGAGGGTTGTCCGAGGCTTGCGACAACGAGGGGGATGGCTGCAAATGGGGCTTTGGAGGAGTTGAATGGGATAAATAACCTCGCGGGATTGAGTTACAGACGTAGCACCAACTGGAGAAGGTAATCACCTCGAATGAGATACAACCGGAGTACCACTCGTCGTCGGATACAACCCTATAAGGCAAACAACCTCATGCACGTTGAATGTTCTTTCAATGACACCTCATAAGGAGGAATGTCTTTTATTATACAGCTCCTTTTTGTCGTGTGTTACATTGCTAGCTCACTTGAAATCAGGTATGTGATATCTCGTCTCAGGATAGAGTTTAAGATACTCTTGCTGCAACGAATATCCAACATCAACTAAATAATATTTAACTGAAATGTATTGCATAATTAGTATGAATGTTAAAGTGAAACAATAGAGAATTTGGGGCTCATGCGAACCTTCAAAAGGTTGTGGGAAGTTGTCGTGGGTATTTTGCTTTGCAGCTTAAAGATTCTACTATCGTGCGCACTACCCTTCCAATTGGCTATGACAAAATGTTGAAGTAGCAAACAACCATTACATTCTGCGTCGGGGACCCACAACCTCCGATGAATGTGACCTCACTGTTTGGAACCCGTGCCTCGACGTGGGTTCCATCTATTGCTTCAATGCAATCCTACTCAAATTAAAACTAGTTTTAAATGATCAGCATGCATTTTTAAATTTGAGTGGAATCAATTTGACAAATTATCTTAAAGGACGACATGTATCGTGCATCGTGTGGAATCTCAGGAGTTTGTTCGAACAAAGGATCAGTAGATTTTATGACTTGCGAAGATAAGCTCACAAGCGCCTCCAAACCCACCAAGAAGTATTTACTAAATATTTCAGAGTGTTGAAATCTTTTCATTGCTCCTCGCGTTGACTCATTTTGTGATAATATGTAAATTGTTATCGCTAATACTTCTCGTGAAGTCATTCTTGAAGGCCCATAAAGTCAATGAAATCTATTCAGTTCTTCCAAAAGATCAATGAATATCTCCTGGCTCATGCAGAACATGTTGAATCTCATTGGGTGTCCAACAAGCAGCTCCCGAACCCA